GGCATTCCTCAACGGGGATTTATATGAAAACATTTATATGGTGTAACCCAAAAGGTTTTGTCATAGAAGAAAAGAACATATGGGATGCCGCCTATAGAAATCCATTTATGGGTTAAAAGTAAGTCTCTAGACAGTAGTATTTGAAGTTGATGAAACGATAAGAAAGTTTGGGTTTTAAAGAAAATGAGAAGGACAATAACGTTTATGCAAAGCTCAAAAATGGAAAATTCACTTTCCACATCATGTGAATAGATGACATTCTACTCATTAGTAGTGATGTTAATCTATCATTAGAGAAGAAGAAGTTTTATCCTCAAGTTTCAATGTGAATAATCTTGGTGAAGCGTTATTGGTTCGAGGAATCAAAATTCACCGAGATAGAAGAAAATGGGGTATTAGGACTATTGCAAAGTCATGCTTAGAAAAGATTCTAAAAAAGTAAAGTATGCATACGAGTAAACCTACGACCGCTCCTATAGTCAAGGGTAATAGATTTAGGAATTTTAAGTGTTCCGGGAATCGATATGAGATCGATTAAAAGAATATGGTTCCATATGCTTCAGCTGTTGGAAAGCTTGATGTGTGTACAAGTACAAGTAAGAACTTATCCTGACGTAGTTTATGTATCCAGGATATTTTGGCAGAAGTCCAGTTCAGATATAGATCACTGGAATAGAGTTGAAAATGTCTTGCGATTTTGCAAAGTATCATAGGCCTCATGCTGAGTAAGAAAGGGCAAGTACTCTCAAATAGTTGAGGGTACAAATGTTAAGTCTTGGCGAGATGTGTAGTGAAATCCACAGCAGTTACTAACACTCGCAGTTGGAGTATTATTATGGAAAAGCTCCAAAAAAACAGTTGTGGTGTCATCAGTGATGCATACTATAGTATAGCTTATCATGAGGCTTAAGGAACAGGCAAAAAGCGGTTAAGGGAATTTGTACCGGATTTAACAATAGTAGACAACAGCAATAATCATTTAAAGTAAGTTAACTCCTAAGACAATAAGTCAAGTGTGTTGCCAAACACATTGACACTAAGGTATATGTTGTAAAGGAGAAAATCCAGAATCATTTTGAAAGCATTAAGCACATAAGTATCGAGTAAGTAATTGCGGATCCGCTTACCAAAGGCTTACCACCCAGTGCGTTCAGAGAACACACAGTCGACATGGGTTTATGGGAAAGCCTATGATTTCTATATACTAAGGGCCTAGTTGAGTATCTATTTCAAAATAGAGAGGTGCATTGTAGCTGTTAAATCTAATGGCAATTGACCGTGACGATGAGGCACGCTCTATGCACTTGATCTGTGATGGAATGAGAAAAAAAGAAAGTTAAGTTTAAGTCATAAGGTGAGATCAAGGGGGGAGAATGTTAGTTTTATCTCCACCAATTGGCCCAACGGCCAATTGGGCCCTTGGATCCGCTGCTCTGATCGGGGGCACCCAACCGCTCCATGGTTGGTGGCCCCCCATCGCACAGCACCATAAAAGGGAGGTGGGGGCTGGGGCACGAGGTTCTCCTGAGCTACCAGGCGCCCCATCGACCATTCCCTAACCCTAACCGATCTAGAGAGGGGGTGCTGCCAGCGACGAGAAGCTGCCACCGATTTCACCATCGCCTCTACATCGCCATCACTGCGTCGGACTTCACCGCCCGCACTGCATACCCGCTGCCATGGTGGCTACTTCCTCCTCTACCTCCTCTGCCAAGCCCGAAGGTATGGCCCCTCTACTCTCTTTGCCTCCTTGTCCCAAGTTCACTGTTACTCAATTTGAATCAACCAGTAAGCAATTCACCCTTAGTACTACACCTAGATGAATCCTAAGCCCCTAACATACAAAGCCTAGTTTGACATTGTGCATTGCTTGTGCATTGATGAAATTCTAGGCAGGTTTATATACGGTGGACATGCAGAATATAATCGCTAGCTGAAGAGTTCGTGTGATGCTGGAAGCGACTTCACTTCAGACTTGGTAGTTCAGAAAACTTGGAGAAGACACCAAGAGGTTGGAAGAGGGACTAGAAAACCTAAAGGATGATTAAGACCATGAGAATTAACTAAACGTGTGATCAGTCATGGTTCTATTGGAAGGTTAAAACCTGATACTGTTATGATGTTGTAATAACTAGTTTCCTATGACCCTGTAGGTATGTCTTTCAGAGTGATGATCTCTGAGGCAGGGTATCCACTATTCAAGCTGTTGGAAGCTTACCATGTTAACACTCTTTTAGGCTCGTTCTCTTTTGGGAAAGACTAGTGCCCGGACATACGGACGGTGGCGCGCATCCGGGTGCCCACGCCTGCTCCGCCCTGGTCGCTCAGCCCCGCACATGCAGTCCATTTCCCCACACCGTTTCGCGCGTCCACGTGGGGCCCGCGCCACCCCGAACGTCACCAACATCGACAAAGAGGGGAGGGGGCGGTGGATGCCCAGATAGCGTTGGGAGGAGGAGGAGACACCGAGGCGAGGTGGCAGAATAGCGAGAAAGGAGATGCAACACCCGATCTACTTTTGAAACATCCAGATGCAATACTTGCAACATACATCTGAAGACAGAAACACTTCCAAAACACCTGAAGAACATAAAACCATGTAAAACATACACAACATCCAGATAAAACACTTGCAACATGTGTGAAACATATGCAACATCCAAATAAACACACTTGCAACATACGTCTAGAAAAATAGTTGAAACATTGGAACAAAAGCTTGCAACGTACGTGTACAACCCCCGATCTACTTTTGTAACATCCACATGAAACACTTGTAACGTCTACATGAAACATCTAAAACAGTTGAAACATACTCTTGCAATATGCATTTTCAACGCACAATGTCACCTTGCTGCTTGGACGAATCATGGAACTCGACGCCGACACGGAGATCGGTGGCGGTGCATGGAGCTCGCTGGTGCGCCCCTGGGCGAGGACCTGCTTGACGGCCTAGGTGAGCACTTGCATGAGGCGCGCGAGCACCCTAGGCGAGCACTTGCTCGACGGCCTAGGCCAACGCACCCTTGGTGAGCACCTGCTCGGCGGCTAAGCGGGCAATGGAGGTGGACGCGGCGGGCAAATGCCACGGTGGAGTCAGGCGCATTGGTCCAATGGAGCGATGGATAAGGCCGCGATGGTGAAGGGCAAGCGCGTAGCAGAGAATTTTTTTAAAGGGGTGTGGATGGATAAGGTAGCCCGCGTCCGTCCGTCCGTCGTCGTACGCCCGCATGAGAGCATTAGCGTTCTCTTTTCCTAGTCTAAATTTCTGATTCTGAACACATGTATTTCCGCTTGCTTAACGGAAATGGTTGATCTCGTGTCAAAAGAAAATGTCTGTCTGATTCCATGTTCAAATCGACGACTGTTAGTGCGAAAAGTTGGAGCTACGAGTTTACACTATTTATCCAATAGGCCGTCAAACTTAGTTGCGACATGATTAGCTTTCAAACCATGCTGATGAGCTTGATTGACTTCATCAGCCAGCTTTATGGATTCATGTCTCTGACCTGATGGAGAGTCCATATGTGGCTTCCAGAATGAAACAGCCTATGATGTATAGGGCCTGTTTGGTTCCAAGTTCCTAAAACTTTAGCTCCTAAAAGTTTTAGGCAGCCTTCTAAAACCTCATAAAAGAGTGTTTGGTTCTACCTCCTAAAACTGACTAAAGGCAATAAATGCAGTGGCAAAAGGACCATGATGCCCTCCCTAGTTATCCCTGGCGCTACTCTCTTTCTCCCTCAGCTCCGCACGCCACTCTTTCTCCCTCCAGTCTCCTCCCCACTCCTCAAATGCCGCAGCCACGCCTCACACATGTTCCGCCGCCGCCGCCGCTTCCAAACAACGCCGTCGATCGATCGCCGCCCGCCGCCGTCACTAGATCCACGCCCACGCTACCCGGATCCGCCTCCCCCTCACTCCCCCTGACCTCTTGCTTCTTCGCTCAAGCCTCCCCCTCATCGGCTCCATGAGGGATGGTCCCGCCCGGAGGGAGGTCGCCAGACGCGCAAGACATGGCGCGGCGGGCGGACGGGTGCCTCCGCCTCCCGCCAAGCGGCGGGCACTGCACGGGTGCCCGCCACGGCGCCTCGACCTCCGGCCCCGCCCACCAGGGCCTCGTCCTCCGGTCCCGCCGACGGAAGGACGGGGTGGTGGGGCGCTCGAATGCGGTGGGCGGAGTGGCGGGGCGGCCGCCGGAGGTGGGCGACATGGTGGTGGTGGGTCGCATGAGGCAGTAGAGGAGGGGTGGACGGGCACCACCAAGAGGTCTCGCCCGGTGGACATTGCAGCGCTTGGGTGGTGGAGATTGAGCGAGCGGTGCGAACGCCTGCTCGCCTTCCTCACCGGCCCGGCTCGGCCTCTCAAAAAGCGGACATCGTGGGCTTGGCGCCGAGGAGAGGAGAGGGCGCCATGCATGCCTGCCCGTCTTGTGTGCGCGAGGGAGCGGGGGCGGCGGATCCGACGACGCGAGGGAGTGGGGCCGGCAGATCCGTCGTGGAGGGAAGGAGCGGGGGGGGGGGGCGTTCGGGACGTGGGTGCAGGGGCGTGGGGGCATGTGATCGGGAGGGGTACCCCAGGTCCAGGATGGACTTTAGGAGCTTTTAGATGAGGTTTTGGCCCCTCCTAAAGTTTTAAGGAGCTTTTAGGAGAGGGTGTCTGGTTCTTTCGGCAAATTTTATCTAGATTTTAGCTCCTAAAGTTTTTAGCAGGGGTAACCAAAAAGGGTCATATTATACTATACATGCTTGCAGAAATAAACATAGGGTAATACACAGAAACTAACGCAGCAGCGCACAAGCAAATCATCGCATTGAACCTCCTTCCAGTGTTTTCCCACGAAAAATGCTAGATACAGCAAAAAAGTGGACTGTAACATGGGGCGACTTTGTTCATCCGGATTCTGTATCTGATAAAACCATCGACTGAAACTATATTGAAGACAGTGTTTCTCTTAAACTACTCTCGTCCATGGTGGCGTGGGACTGGGCTGGACGATCACTTCACTTCTTTTGTTCGCCCCCCACATTCAGTTGCTGGAGCCCAAGCAAAAGGTCCCTGGAATCAAGGAACACCTTGTTGCTTGAGGCCGCCATGGTGTGGGAGATCTCCCTGGCAGCTTCAATCTGTCTCAGAGCCAGGAAAGCGGGGTTGTTCGCAATGGCTTGACCAATCAGCTCAGCACTCTTAGCCTCACCCTGTTCAAACAAGTCACAAACAGACAGCGATTCAGAATCATCAGTGTAAAAAGGGAATAATGCAATGGTACATACACAACTGCATACAGAGGCATAAAGAACACTGTTTTCAGCGTGAGAAACTGAAACTACAGGCATATTTCAGCGTGAGAAACTGAAATTACAGGCATATATTTAACATCTCGAAGGAAGTAGATTAAAGCCATTGCATTTTTTTTCTTTCTTGTAATTACTTGTTTCAAGCCAGACAAAGGACATGCTTATACAAGAAGGGTAGTTACTGACCTGTGCCCTTATGATTGCACTGCGCTTGTCCTGCTCGGCCTTCTCAACAATGAACTTGGCACGCTCAGCTTCTTGCGCAGCAACCTGTTTGGCTTCAATGGCATGAGTAAACTCTTTTCCAAAGCTGAGGCTTGTGATGGACACATCATCCAGAGCGATATTGAAGTTGTTGGCCCTCTCAGTCAGAATCTTCCTAATCTCCCTGCTCACAGCCTGCATTGGAATTGAATGCATGAATTGTTAACATATCCTAATCTACTGCAATCCTAGCAAGACAGTTGTTATCTAGGGAACATGTCTCAACACATGAAGCAGTACCTCTCTCTGTGTGATCAGCTGACTGGCATTGTATTGAGCAACCACAGCTTTGAGTGTTTCATGAATGATTGAAGGCAGAACTCTCTCATTGAAGTTCTCCCCCAGGTTCCTGTAGATTTTAGGTAGCTGATCTGGCATGGGTCGAGTAAGAACACGAAGACCAATTCTCACCTGCCCAAGTTACCAACTCAAAATCAAATACATACATAAAAGAAGAACAGTATTGATGTGCTTTTCAGCAGAAGAGAATAACAAGAAAATTGCAAGTACGTACACATGAAGAAAGACCCACATGGACACAAACATAGCAAACCACTTTAAAAGGTGATGACAATGAATATGATGAACCAAAACTTGATTCACTTGCAATATTAAATTTAAAGGGTATGAAGGGCTCTGAAAAGTTCAAGAAACTAGCACAAACTATCACGTGCTTTGTAATGGTTAAGTAAAGAGCCGAAACAACACCTTACATCACATTTATTCAATTGCTTCCTAAAATCAAAGACACCCTCAGAACAGATTAATGCACAACAATGTACAAGTTGAAATGAACAATTCAGTTACTGGCAGTCAATAGGCTACATCTTACTAGATCCACGACAAATAACAAGGGGTACGTTATAAGAGCTGCTATGAGTGCAGCAGAACAGGAGTTCAAAGTGACACCATCAAATTAGTCATTAAATCTATGCACATATCAAGGGGCAGCAATCAGTTCAGAAGCATAAAAGATCACTACAAGCCGCAGTCAACATCATCTCAACTATTGCAACCAGAAGTTGATCCTTCTGTTGGTCCCAAAAGTCAGTGCCTAGTCAAGCACGCACATCGAGCAGTACATTCACTACAAAATTAGTGACAGGGAATGGGAATCGAGAAGGAAACTTACCATCTGGAGGTCGCGACTTCCGGAGGTGCTCTCGACGAGGTTGGGTCGGGCGCGGACGTCGTAGACAATCGGTCTCTCGATCCACGGGATCAGCAGGTGAGTTCCTTCTGGGTACACCTGGGCCGGAGAACGAAATGCAAATCGGTAACGCACCCAGTCAAAACCACGCTCACACACATCGCGCCGCCACTGCGCGGCTGCAACCGAGGGAGGCGCGCCGAGGTGGCCTCACCTTGTCCTTGATCCCCTCGAGGCGGCTGAAGACGATGGCGCGGTGGCCGCCCTCGACGTTGTAGAAGCTGTTGAGGACAGCGTAGAGCCCCGCGCCGCCGAGCACCGCCACCTTGACGAGCGCGCTCCCGCCCTTCGGCGCGCTCGGCAACTTGGCTCCCTTGAGGCTGTCCATCTCGCCGGCGGGGGGGTTAGATAGGGTTTTGAGTAGCTGGGGCGGAGATGGCGGAGGCGTACAGGTGGAGACGGAGGTGGAAGACGAAGGGGATGGGAGGGCGCGTGGCTTAAGTGGAGAGGGCTGGGGGGATCGTGGGCGTTGGATCTTTGATCGGACGATCGAGAAGAGGCCGGGCCCCGGTTCTTTCCTCCTGATGGTTTCAGCGTTGCTTTCTTGAGTGCAAAGTTGATAATCTTTATTTAGAAATGCTATACAATATATGTGTGTTTTAGAAAAAAAAAACATATGGATTTTTTTATGTAATCTGTGTACATGCACGATACACTGCTGCTTCGGTCCACTGATCTGATGGGGAAGTGATGTCGTCGGCTTCACGGCAGTGCACGCACCCTTCATCAAACCAGCGAACCATGTGACGATAGGAGTTGCACCTGCACAAGTTGCAAAAATGCGTTGCATGGGATGAAATGGTAAACAACTTGCCATGTTCGATCGATTAATCAGGTGTCAGGAAGGTGTCAGCATGTACGATTACTGAAACAGTGGCAAGCAATCAACGTGTAGACTAATTTTTTACCTGAAGCGTACGCAGAGGGGCACACGTTTTTCTGCATACGTGTGTCGTCCTACCGGCCACTCGTCCTCAACGCGACCTGCGGCGATGGTAGATGTGTAATTTATCCTTTTATAGAAGAAAAAAATTTGTTTACTGTGATCTGTGGATATGTGATCTTATAATTATATGAAGGTAGAAGAAGGCTGAAAGGTAGAAGAAGGGTGGAGACTGTTGGATCTTAATCTTATGGTAAAAAAAATCATGTGTTGAAATTGCATAAAACACATGGTTGTATAGTAGACAGACTCATTTTTCTCATGAGGAAATTGACAGGGATTTTCTCTATATATTTATTTCTTCTCAGAGAGGTTGTGAGAAATTCATCTAATTTTAGCGGATTTTGAACCGTAATGACAGCATTGCATAATACTAAGAAGGCACTAAATTTGGCTGTAATTTGGGTAAACGAAACACTAGTAGCTGTCTAGTTGGCAGCCTCTTTCCTGAATGGCTGCATCATCCGACGTGTTCGTTGGATGGTTTCTGGACTGATTTGGATTGGTTGATGCTGGTTTTTTATGAGAGAAAAATATTGTTGACTAGTTAAATAAGCCTAGATGAAACCAACAAATGAACAGTATCTCATATCATCCAATGAATCACTCACTCGCATGGAACAATGTGTCTCTCATATGATCCCACTATTTTTTTTTCTCGAATATGTAAAAGGTTTACGTATCTATTTGCTTGAACTTATCAGCCTGGCTTATCAGCCATGTTACAGTGTTTTTTCTCTAACAACAAATCAGCTAACTATACTTTTTAGCATGACTTTTCAACGAAGCAAACATTGCAACAATAACACGCCACGAACATGGCGCACATCCAACTACTTTTACTGCACACAGGCTTCACATAACCAAATCTTGAAGCCAGTTCAAAAGAATTTAAGGAAAAATTCAAGCCAGAGATGCATGGAAAAAGTAGACAAAAAAGCTTCACAAGCCCCTCACAACACTGCATCCGAAACCTCCAACCTCAAAGCCAACTGCACAGCACACACTTGAACCTCACATCCTGGAACACAGTTCTAGTAGTGTATCTCATCCACACAAAACTCTGAAGAAAGAAAGGGGAGGAAGGGAAGGACGAAAGGAAAGGAGAAGCTACAGCTTTACAAGCTTCCCTGAGGGTGGCAAACAGTGGGGGAAAAGGGGCAAAACGACCAGCGAAAACTAGGTCCGTAGCGCCATGAACAAACTCTGCCTTCTTGAGTGCTCTGGGACAAGGCGTTCAACGACTTCTGGGGGAACACCTTTCAGCTCTGTCAGGATTTCAAACATCTGATCAGTTTAGCTGAGAACAGAATTTGAAGCAGCTAGGTTTAACTTCTGAAGTATGCGCATGCTAAGGGAACAGAAGATTAACTACTGACAGACAACACTGATGTTTCAGTACAATTACGCTACCTTGAGATCTGAAGTTGAAGAGAGGCGGCAGAGGCCGACCATTCGGTAGACGAGTGTTTGGGTCTCTCAGCTCATCAAAGAAAGGGTGCATACAGGCTTCCAACTGAAGAATCGTTCATCAGTTAGAAGAATGAAATTGAACAAGGAATCATCCAACGTAGTTAGTGGCAAGAATGTAAAAGCGTATGGAGCATTGGGGCCTTACAGCAGTGCACCGTAGATTTGGTGAGTACTGTAGAAACCTGCTAACAAGATCCACTGCTTCAGGTGGAAGCCTTCTTTGAAAAACCTGGATATAAGAGAACCTTGAGATGACAGTGGAATCAGGGGAGAAATATGCTCATTCAGTTTTGTGCCTGAGCATATGTGATGTGGACATTGCTTGCATGCCTGACTTTATTTGAATTCTAAACATAAAAAATTGCCAGTAAATTTGGCATTTAAAAGCACAACAGTCATATATAATGTACATATCTGAAATATCCATATTCCAAAGGTATGCACTAAGCTGTATAATTGTGTTTGTTGATTCCAGCTAAACATCACTGTGATGATACAGAGCTAAATAATCTCCGTGTATATTAATTACCTTGTGCCACGGATGAGCTTTAATTTGTGGGAACTTGAACTCCGTGTAATTTGGGTTCATGCACTTGATCTCTTCCCTTGTTGGAGTACCCAAAACCTGCAAGAAGCAGATGCTATGTCTCAATATGTCATGGTGCAAAAGAAGGTAGCAAAACAGTGGAGATATGGATACTGTAAGAAAATCACCTTGATGATCTCAACTAGTTGGTCGACTCCACTTTCTCCAGGAAACAGAGGCTACATGGATGAATGCTATCAGAAGAAGCAAAAAGGTAAGAATCAGAGGGAGGGAAACTAAACATGCCAGACCTGTCCTAGAAGCAGCTCTGCCATGACACAGCCTGCTGACCACAAATCAATAGCAGTAGTATATTCTGTTGCACCAAATATCAGCTCTGGTGCTCGGTAATACCTTGAGCATATGTAAGAGATGTTTGGCTCTCCTCTGACCTGCATATTTGCAAAAAATGCCATCATGGAGATTTACGTTTCAAATTGATAAAATGTACCATGTCTAGGTAGGTCACCTACATTTAGCGTGGAACTTTGCATTTGTTTACTCTTCCAAGTAATGTAGTGTGTGTTGATATATAACATTCTTGTGCATTTAACAGAGGCCAAAATTAGAAGATAACTTACCAATACTTTAGCACTTCCGAAATCGCAAATTTTGAGTTGGTGTGTATGTGGGTTAACCTACAGTAGAAATATTAGCAAAATATATCAGTCATCATAAATATGTAATCTACTATTCCTGAGGTAAAGAAAAGGTCAAGTAGCAAAACAGTAGCTACCTCAGCTTTAAAGGACAAAACTAATAAGCCCTTTAGGCATGCAGAAAAAGAAGGCGATTATATACTCTACAATTGTCAGCGTATGTATGATTATTTGAGTTTCAGTTTCTCCTGCTTCCTCAAACAATCTCTAATCTATGCGGTTATGGAGTCATGGTAGGTTAACAAGCTAGCTAGTTGGATTGATCTTCCATGCTCCTTTCTGAGGCTCATAGTTTGCACCAATAATTTTTCAATTAGTTTAGCATTTAGGCACTAGCGGAATGTACAGAAGCAATTGACATCTGTGGAACTGGGAGCATGGTTTTTTTTCAGTCTTGTTATAAGAGAACAAATGATGACGAAATGTTCCAAAAGACAAGATACCATTGACAAGAAAAACAGCATATACAGGGTATAAAATATGATATGTGCAGCCTAGGAATAAAATGATGCACATGGGATAGCACCTATATATGAAACTAAATAATGCACAAGTGGATGAACGTTTCCAATTTCAAAATGCTAGGGCCATAGATGTCGGGTGGAACTGACCAATAATTGTGACATCGGGCTACACATGATCTAAAAATTCAGTCCCACTTGTACAAACCAAATGCCATTTTATGGTGTTACCATACCATCCCAACAACAAAATATCCAACAAATGTGAATGACAAATGCAAAGCAACATATTCATTACACAAAAGAAAGAGGTTCATATCTCACAAGAACATTCTGCGGTTTGATATCGCGGTGGCAGATGCCAATGCAGTTATGTATATAAGCAAGCGCTCGGCATATCTGCAAAGTGATTTAGGACAGATTAGATAAATTAATGCACAGCAGAAATCTGCGATCGGATATGACAATAAAAGGTAAGTAAAGGCAGCTGGAAATTGTTTGACTCCAACAACTGTATGGAGCAAACAAAATTATAAAGGGGGCGTACCCAGTGCAGAGAGCTCCCGCTCTGTGCGGGGTCTGGGAAGGGTGTCAGTGGCAAGCCTTACCCTCGCCTGTGCAATGCGAGGAGACCGCGACTCGAACCCGGGACCTTCCGGTCACAGGCGGTAAGACTCTACCGCTTGCACCAGGCCCGCCCTTCAGCAAACAAAATTATATTAAAGCAAATTAACATTCTCACTGTCATAGAAGACAGAATACAGCTGAATCAAAAGAAGATTTGAGCCATGCAAACAATCGTGCCTGCACTAATTGTAAGTCATACAATAAACGACCAGTACTAGTCCTTGAAGAGTGGATTAAAGTCACTCCGTCAACTAAACTCAGGCATTTAAATGTCCTGTGGACACGCAGCGTAAACCCAAGTGATCATTCAAATGGGTCACTCTAAACATATAGGAAGCAAGTTGTATAACATAAATCCAAAGACAGGATAATTGACAAGCTGTCCCCATTGGGGCTATAAATGTCTCAATAATATTTATCTTAGATTCTTCATGGAAACAAACAATGTGAATCATTGATAGGCAACTTCAATAGAGGTTCCAGACTTCCAGTACAGTGCTACTGTTGAAGATAGACTTCAAGCAAACATGAGGCATATATATTTTTTTAGATGAAGGATAAGGCATAAATATGGATGCCAAGAAGATAAGATACCGATGTCACCACACTTCTAGTTCTACAAGATAGCATGTACGTTAAAGTAGTAACATGTTTAGTTTCAGGGAACAGACACACTCATACATGTATATTATCTTGATTTGTGACCCTATATGACTATTTTAATATATAAGTCATGGGGACCCATGCTCTATTTTCTCCATTATTTTAAGTCTATTTCAAATGAATGAACATGACAAAATGATGTCCTGCAGAATCCATGATCCATAAAGTTGATTGCAGAACATGTGATATGCACATAACCTGACAACACTACCAGACTAGTACCCCACATTTTCCGGAATCCATCCCCTTGCCTTATTTAAAATCAGCTAAATGATAATAAAAGTGTGTCAGGGCTTCTAAGATGTTTTTCCTACTATTTCGAAAAATGCATAGGGAAAACGTGCTTTTTAATCATGTGCAAAGGAAGTGCCATAACTAGAAGAAGATCAATGGTAAAACTGAGCGAAAAAATTTCTAAAGGAAAAACAGCATTTAACATGCATGATTAGTAAAAACCACCTAGTCAAGGCAGACCTGATACGTGTACAGTTTGACAAAAATGAGGGGCATCCGCTGATTCATTCGGTTGTACTGCCTTGCAATCCTGTTTACTGTCTCTGGAACAAACTCAAGAACAAGATTGAGATAAAGCTCGTCCCTTTCAGTTGTTGAAAAGAAGTAATGCTTAAGACCGATGATGTTAGGATGGTCAAGCATATGCATGATTTGCAGCTCTCTGTTCTTATAACGCTTATCTTGAAGAACCTTTTTTATGGCAACAATTTCTCCTGTTTCTCGGCATTTTGCCTAAAGAGTTAATAATGAAATGGTTATATGCTTTTCACAATCAATTAGGCATAGAACAGTTCAGAAAACAGAAAGGTGGGTTGTTTACCTGATATACAACCCCAAAAGAACCAGTTCCAACCACATGTTCAGCGATGTATGTGACAGACTGTTTCACAGCACATATCATTATTTGTCGGATAGTTTTTTTTTTACCTCCAAACGATCATATATATCAAGAATCAAAGTAAAATTACCCTCACCTGTTTAGGCAGGCCGTTGCGCCCACGAATTGTAGTTGCTATTACATGACCAGCTTCATTACTAGAACTATCAGTCACATCTGAACTTGACCCCATCTCCTGCAAAGAAAAGAAGAAGAAGAAGAAGAAGAGAACAAAGAAAGAAAGAAATTAAGTCTCTTCATATAAAAAAAACAAAGTGCAGAATTTATTCACCAGTTTCTTCTGATCCTCTGGAATAGGTATGGCAGTATAAGTGATAACAGCATGAAGCAATAACATGTAACAGTGCCTTTCCAGTATATAGATTACATTGCCAGTGCCCAGTATGCGGTACAGGAGATTACATCTTTTGTATCCACTAATATGCAATGCTACATGCCTACATTAAAGAACCGCACACAAGGGAAAAGATAGGGCTTGTACATGTATTTGACTGAAAGTGGTGATGAAGTGACCAAAACATTGACACTAATTTCAGCCATAGGCCAATCAAAGAGTAGTATAAACCTACCCTTTCATCATCTGTATCGGGCTTGGCATCCCTCAGTTGCATTCCCAGCATCTCCCTACCCAGAAACTCCACCGAGTTGGTTGCCCCCTTGAAACCATTCCCTGGCCTTGAGGAGCTCCCAACACCACCATACCTTTGTCCAGAATAGGCCATACCTCCAGGCTACAGCAATGTGGTAACTGGTAGGGCTCAATCGAGATCACCAAGGCCAGTGTGCGGCTTCATCGCTTTGTAGAAGATCAGCTTGCCAATTCCAATGCCTGGTAAATTAAATGAATGACAACCGAATGATAAAAAAGTTCAGTCAGCATAATTTTGATGTAAAATCGCAGAAATAGATTGAGAAAAAAACACAACAAATCTTCTGCTGGTGGTTCAAGCAATTCAGAGAACACACTAGAAGCACTGCTACTGTTGAAATATCAGAGTGTCCAGCCCCACACAGAGATCAAGCAAAACCCTTGAGTAAAAGAATGAACAGCTGCAGCTTTCTCCAAAATAGTGACAGATCAAACACGAAATTGGGGCGAAGATCCTCTCGGATAAACGGGACAATCCGTCCCAAGTCCAATACCTCCCGTTAATTGAGCCAAAACCGCACCCAAAAAAGAGATAAAAAGGATTTTTTTTCTGAGGGTGGGGACTCGGATCAAAGAATCCATGGCCAGTACCTCAGACTGAAACCTAGCAGAGATCGACAGCGAGCTCTTGCAGCAGATCAAACAGCGGGCTCTTCACGGTCTGACGGTTCCTGCAGCAGCTCCGGCCTCGTCCTGGGTTTTCTTGCGTTGGTTGGGTGGGGGAGAGAGGAGAAGGCGACTAGGAGTCAGGACACTGAAGCAAGCTGGTGGTGGGAGCGAGCGAGTGAGGCCATGAGGGAGCAACTGAGCAAGTGAGCTAGTGGAGGGCAGCTGCTAGCTCTTGGTCTCGGGTTGGGTCCTTCCAAACTTTTCCATTTCCGGTAAAAAAGAATTGGCGTGGCATGGAAGAACCAGAGAAATTTATTGGGGCAGATCATGGAAGTTGCAGGGGAGAGTGACTGTCTGAGGAGGTGGGGGAGATGCAGATGCCAACAAATCTGAGGCTGGTGAATGGTGAGCTTGCTGCAGTCAATTTGGCAGTGAAAATACTGGGGCTGATGGATGCGAGTTTGACTGGAAACTGACCTACCTGTGCTGCTGCTGTGAAGGCTTTTGTTTTTAGTACTAGCAACTTGAGTTTATCCTGTGCTGGAATTTTACGCCAGATTTGCAGTCATATATAAAAATATAAACATTGACTTATTTTTCAGGAAGAACATGGCACATGAAGTGGGAAAAGGATTTTTCTGGTGTATCTAAATGATGGATGTTTGGCCTTATTATTCTTTTAAATAATAAAAAAGAATGATTTAGTTTTGTGCACAGGTAAGGTGCTTCCCTCCAATGAAAACACTGCATAGCTAGCATTGGTTGCTGTCGCTAGGGCTTGTTTGTTTGAACTTATGAACCGGCTTATCAATTAATCTATAATATTTTTCTCTCATAATAAATTAGTCAAGACCGACTTATCAGCCGGCTTTAATACCAGCCAAATATGCCCCAAGGACTTTCAGCTAACTGCGACTTCAGTTGTAGTACAACGGCCTAGCACAATCAAGCACATGGTTCTTTCTCCGTACCAGAAAAATGTTGACAAAGCCCTATTCATTTCGCTGAAAAAACAAGTCAAAACACTGTTCTGACTAATTTGTTGTGAGAGAAAAATTATTCCAACTAAAAAAACAAACCAAAAAATATTTCGGTAGAACAATACAAGGAGTCAAGGAGCATGCAGGCGATCACTTTGTCAGAAGCAGCATCTCTCAACAATGTGGGGTACAGTAACACAGGCTTCATGTAGTAGTAGCATAAAAATATCTGAATCAGTACTGTACAACACCATGCCATATTGGACCATGGTTAAATGACAATTACTTTATGATGTATCAGTATTCTTCATTATCATTCATCCATATGTTCTTTTGATCTTTCCAGCAGCCATAGGAAAATCTTTGATTATCTTTCTGTGTTATGTAGGCGTATCTACTGATCAGCCTGCAACAAGAAAAACTCGATGAAGCAAATTGCCCAAAAGAATAGCAACAGGAAACAAGTGGTGGTACCTTCAACAAATTACTTATGTCATCCCTAATACCAAAAAAACTGTTACAGTGTCATGAGATAGAGGACAAGTAATGTGTTGAGATCGCTCTTAAAAAAGGGCGGCACTAAAAAGGCCCACCGGGGATAGGTGTTCTGTTTATGCTCATCATGCTACTGTCATTCGTTGACCGAGTCAAATGGGTCACAACAATTCAGTTCGCATATGCTACTGTAAAGTGCTCATGTGAGTTGTGCCGTGAGAAGTAGAAACATCATTATTCTAAGGGGCTCGCAGCTGGACTCAGCATGTGAGGGCGATAAAAAATTTAACCTTGCTGGTCGATGCATTTTTGTCGGTGAAAAGCTCCAACATAAAGTACTTGATGCAGTTTCAGTGGCCATTAGCCAAGTTTAGAACAATATCTCTAGAATGCAGTGGCGTTATCAGTGGAGATTCGATCTAACTTACCAGGACAACATATCTGCCACTCAAATTCCAACAGCGTCAAGAAGCTCCAAATGCTGCGACACCGGAACCAGTGTGTTGGCGACGATTGCGCCGCTTGCCGCGACCGCCGGCACTCCGATTAGTCCGATCCCTGGAAAAGTCGAGTCACCGCAGCAGAAGAGCTGGGGGATTGGTGTTGCTTGCCCAGGGAAAGTGGCTTCTCCAGCTTTTATGGCTGGACCATAGGTTCCCCTATTCCTTCGGAGAAATCTCTTGTGCGTTAGTGGTGTCCCGACCAATTTCACGTCGCATTTTGCGCGGCTAAATTTTGGGCCAAGAGCAAGCTCCACAGCTTTCCACATCACCTGAAAAGTTTGCATGGGAATGTCAGTCACAGTCAAGACAACAAAGTTATTACTACTTCTTACGGACACTCGATAGTGGTCTTCTTTTTGAAAAACGAGAGTCATTTTGATGATTTCTGTGCCAACTTTGGGGGCATTTCTCTCTTTTGACTATTCCATCTCTTTTGATGTCAGATCTTTGCTTAGGTCTTGTTTAGTTGACGAATATTTTTGGAAAATAATATTATAGTATTTTTGTTGTTATTTATCAATTAGTGTTCAATCATAGTCTAATTAAGCTTAAAAGATTCGTCTCGTGAATTTCGTCTAAACTGTGTAATTAATTTTTTTTTTATTTATATTTAATACTTCATACATGCATCCAAAGATTCGATGTGACGGAGAATCTTGAAAAATTTTGCAAAATTTTGGAAACTAAACAGACACTTAGACGATGCAAATGAGCACGTGCATTTAAGAACTGGACCATTGAGGGTGAAGAGATGAGACTTCCAAGAAATATCTAAACTATGCATTTATTTGCTATACTAGGTACTAATAGTAATAGTGGCAAAGAATCAAAATTGCATCCCATGTACCTCAGAACGTTCTTCCTTCAATCTTCGATATTCTGCACTTTTCCTGTCCAATCCCTCCCACAAACTGAAAGGTTCTGTCCCTGGAGTATATGCATGAAGAATGTGCTTTCCAGGTGGTGCCAGGTCCTTACTAAGAACACTAGGAACGGATATCAACACAACATTTTGTTCACCATCAACTCCTTTGTTCCAATCATCAACCACAATATGATGGATCCCAAGGTCCTCTCTAGCATTCTGATTCAGTAATGTCGAAGGGTTATGGTAAGAGATGGATCACCTATGAGGAAACATGCACCTTTGTTAAAATGCTTTGCTAGATTTCACTTCGGACAAAGCATACCTCTGCATCAAAACCAAGGTGGAGATGCATAAACGATTCACATTGTGGAGTTGCTTTCACTCTATCTTCATATGATTTTGGGACAACATTTGGTGGTAGCAGATCCAAAGTATCCCACATAGATGCATTGCTAACAACCGCTTTCTTTGCACGGACGACCTGCAAAAGGACATAATTCCCGACAAGATTTCAACAGCTACATCTTTCTTCAAAACATAGGTTGGATGATAGCAGTCACTGAATGAAAAGTTTGTCTAGTGGCTTAGACTGACATGTGGCACACTCATGCCACTCAAAAACAGATTGCATAAGACAACATGGTGGTAATTTTTTGCGATCTTGGCCTACATGGTCTGCCACTAATTTAAAAGCATGGAGAAAGGCCTAAACTAACTATGATATGCGGTACTGAGGATAACACTTAATTTGCCACATAGACAAAGGCTATTAATATTGATCACAGTGCATTCCAATCGAAGGCCTTTTATCATCTATAAAGGAAAAAAATATTGTGAAATGAAACATTAAACAACATCATTGTCTATGATAGGCACATGACATCTAAATCAAAGCCATGCTAGTTGTGGCTGTTATTGGCTTTATGTTCGTGACATATCACTCATTTCCCCACATGTCTCTCTCTCTCTTCTTTTGGCTCTGAAGGGGCAATATTTTATTTTGCCTGCCAATAAAATATCTTCTAGAGCTTACTTGTCCACTTTGTAGCTTGACACCAACTGCTCGACCATTCTCGATTAAGATCTTTTCAACATGAGAACGAAGAGCAAGTCTGCCACCAAATTTTTCAATACCACTCACGAGGTTGCGTTCAAAAAATACCACTCACGAGGGCATCTATGATTGCTCCAGTTCCACCTAGAGGGTACTCAAGCAAGCATCCTGGTTTGTACCATTCTGCAAACATATAAACCTGAGGGTGTAGTTAGAACAACTAATCTATAATCAAAAGAACACCTCAAAACCTCATCTTTGCACATTTTAAATTATCCAAGCAATTTTGAATGTTCACAACAGGAGGATCGCCAAGAGCACATGAAGATGTAAAGATGGACGTTATGGAACAAACAGACAACAATATGTCAATATCCATCTGATGATTCTTCTAACAATTATTTCTATTCATCACTAGAAAAGGATGCTGGCATCGTACATAGTTCAGTATCAGTACAAATACAATCACTACTGTGGCCATTGCATTTGCTTGGCTTAGAAGCAGATGGCAGTGACTTGCTATACGTCCTGAAATACAGCACCTGGTACATAAAAACTTGGTACGGATATGTTACGATTGTTAGGATCGTAGGATTACCTCTCTTTATCTTTAGGGATCCGGTGACGACCTCTTCCTTTAGGGTTCCTCTAGTCGCCCTGGGACAGTAGCGTCGTGACCTCGCGGACACCGGTGCCGAGGCAGCTCCAGCTCGGTGGCGAGGTACAGTGGTGGCGGCGGTAACGCTGCAGGGGTGACGGCGGAGACCCTACAGGCGCGACGGTGAGGTTGGTGGGGCACATCCCGTCGCTTGCAGCACCTCTTTGATCGGATTAGGGTTTACTGTGGGTGGGATGGCGGCTCCAGTGAACATCGTAATCCGAGCCTTGATCTCCACCTTCCTTTTATATGTGCTGTGCAACAGGGGCCCACCAACCGGATTAGGGTTGGACTCCCCTGATCAGGGAGCAGAGACAAGGTTCGGCCTATTGGTGGAGATCAACTAACATTCTCCTCCTTGATCTCATTCCATCTTTCACTTTCATATCATTTACTTTTGTTCATTCCATTACAGATTAGCGCATAGAGCATGTCTCATCGTCACGGTCCATTGCCGATAGACTTAACAGCTACAACACACTACTCTGTTCTGAAATAGATACTTATCTTTGGGCCTTCTTTTGTCCAAAAATTTTAGGTTTTCCCTTAAACCCATGCTAGCTACATGCTCTCTGAACACCATGTTCTCTGAACATGTTGGGTGGTAAGCCTTTTGTAAGCGGATCCGCGAGCATCCTTTCTGTACTTATATGCTCAAGACTTATGACTTGATCCCAGACTTTATCTTTCACAACATAATACTCTATGTCAATGTGTTTGGCAGCACCACCTGACTTATGTTGTGAGCATACTGTACTGCCAGATTATAATCGCAGTACAACTTAAGTGGTCTATAAATATCGTCAACCACCTTCAAACCGGGTATGAACTTCTTTAGTCAGTTCACCTGCCCATTTCCTCATAACACGCTACAAACCGTCATACATTGTGGACGATGTAGTGACAGTTTGCTTTGAGCTTTTCCATGAAATAGCTCTCCTTTACGAGATGATAGAAAATCCACGTCTAGATATGTATTCACTTTCACATAATCAGAATCTGAATATCCCACTATGTGGAATGAATCAGATTTTCTATATGTCATCATGAGGCCTTTCGTTCCTTGCAAATAATGCAAGACTTTCTTTACTAATTTCAGTGTTCTATTCCAGAATTGCTCTAAAATCTACCAAGTAAAACCCGATAACAAATGCCAAGTCAGGGCGCGTACATACTTGAGCATGTTGCAAGCTTCCGACAGCTGAAGCATATGGAACCACTTTCATTTGATTGAGCTCACATTGGTTCCTGTGGCATTGAAAATCCCCATATCTGTCACCCTTGACTATAGGAGCAGGTGAGGGACTATATTTGTGCATACAGAATTTCTTTAAGATCTTTTCCATGTATGTCTTTTGTGACAGTCCTGATACCCCTTTACTTCTATCTCGGTGAATCTCGATCCCTAGAACGAACGAAGGTTCACCAAGATCTTTCATATCAAATTTTGAGAACAAAACTTATTTGTCTCCTGTAGTAGACTGACATCACTACTAGCAAGTAAGATATCATCCACTTGCAGGACAAGGAAGATAAACTTCCTATTCTTAAATTTCGCATAGACACAATTGTCCTCTACATTTTCTTTAAACCCAAAATTCTTTATTGTCTGATCAAACTTCAAGTACCACTTTCTTGAAGCTTGTTTTAATCCATTAATGGATTTCTTTAGGCGGCATCCCATTCGTTCTTTTCCTTCCATGACAAAACCTTTCAGTTGTGCCATGTAAACATTTTCCTCTAAGTCCCCGTTGAGGAATGCCATCTTTACATCCATCTGATGTAATTCTAAATCATAATGTGTCACTAATGCCATTATGATTCTAAAGGAAACTTTACATGAGACTGGAGAAAAGGTCTCATTGTAATCAATCTCTTCTCTTTGTATATAGCCTTTTGCCACAAGTCGCACTTTATATTTCTCTATATTCCCTTGAGAGTCAAGTTTTGTTTTGTAGACCCATTTACAACCTACTATTTTGGCTCCTTTAGGAATTATTTCTAAATCCCAAACTTTATTGGCATTCATTGATTTTATTTTAGCTTCCATGACCTTAAGCCACTTTGATGAATAATCACTTCTCATAGCTTCTTCAAATGAGGTGGGATCATCCTCCATTTGAAATTCCTCAGTGTTGTACACTTCATAATCAGCAGAAATAGCTGATTTTCTAACTCTTTGAGACCTTCTAGGGGCCTTCACATTTGGCATATCTTCTATTTGAGGCTATTGTTGCTCCCCCTCATGTGTGGCAATAGGTTCTATAGAATCCTAAAGAACAGGTTCCTCATCGTCATTCATTGTTGCCACAGGTGGGATAACAACAGGTGCTGACACCATAGTCTCTTGCACTATCGGTGCAGCGATAACAGGTAGTGAGAAAATTGGCTCATGAATCATTGGAGTGGACGCATACACCTGCTTCACTTCAAGGTCAATTTCTCGAGCTACCATGCTCCCCCTCATTAGTTCATCCTCTAGGAAGACAGCGTGTCTCGTTTCTATAAACTTTGTATGTCTCTCTGGACAGTAGAAACGAAAACCTTTTGACTTTTCTGGGTAGCCAAACAAATGACAACTTACTATTTTGGGTTAAATACTTTAGCCTCAGCAGGACTCCCCCACACACACGCAAGTGGTTTAGTGAGGGTACTCTTTCTGTCCACAACTCATACGGTGTTTTGGGCACCGACTTACTTGGTACTCTATTGAGAATATGAATGTCGGTTTTAACGTCTCCATCCACATGCTCAACTGTAAGGTGGAGTAACTTATCATACTGCCCACCATATCTATCAGGGTGTGATTGATTCTTTTAGCTACTCTATTCTGCTAAGGTTCGTCCGGTGTAGAATACTGGGCTGCTATGCCATTCTTTTAGGGTATGCCGACCGTAGTACTCCCCCACGGTCGGACCTGACTATCTTAATCTTTAATACCTTAAATTTATCCAATACATCTTTTCTTTCTTTGATTGGATAAATATAGCTATAATAGGAGTAATCATCTGTGAATGTTATGAACGGATCATAACCATCCACACTCTTTACAGAAAAGTTGACCACAGATGTCTGTGTGAATAATCTGTAAAATTCCTGCGCTTTGTTTGTCATCTTTCTTAATCTTCTTTACATACTTTCCTTTTATGCATTCCCTGCATTGTTCTTAATCTGAGAGCTCTAATGGAGGAAAAATATCATTCTTAACTTGTCTTTCTATTCCCCCCTCGAAATATGGCATAAACGACAGTGCCATAATTTCGACAACGCATCGTGAGCTCTCTTATGCCACCATTTTCAGAGTAACACTCTGTTACCAGCTGCTTTATCAGCTGGGTAGCATATGTCTTTAAAGAGCCAGTGAACTGACTCTTTATTCTATCGAGGTACTCGGTGACTGTGTCACACTCTGGGATTGATCCCACAATTGCAGGTTCAATCATGTTCTTTATCACAGCCAAAATATTTCTTGTTGGCAGTGACCCACTTCCTATGCACAAAAGTCATAGGACTCTCTTTTGGGATTCAAAATCCCTCTCTTTAGTTGCCCAAATGGCATTATTCTCTTTTGTCTCCCTCACTGGTGCCACAAACTCAGTGGAACACGGTGAGGTGACTATCCAGTCCATCTTAGACAAGATGAAAATTAGGTCAAAACTTTTCTTATCATAAAATTAACACCATTTGCATGCCTTGATTCCAAAGTTGGTCAAAATCAAAACATACAACTGTTCGTATACACTAATTCTACATCACCGTTGGGCAGAAATAAAATTAATGCATAAATCATTAACTTTCACAATTGTTCTTACACACTAATTCTACAGCACCGTTGAGCAGAAATAGAATTAATGCATGAATCATTAACTTTTATAACTATTCTCATACACTAATTCTACATCACCGTTGGGCAGAAATAAAATTAATGCATAAATCATTAAAATTAACATCTGTTCTTATAAACTAATTCTACATCACCGTTGGGCAGAAGTAGAATTAATGCATAAATCATTAAAATTACGATATTATTATTAACAACGTTGGTCAGAAAATAACATCATAATCCATGACAAATCTCTTTTTCTCCAATTAAATACCACTTTGGTTCAAAATAACTGAAGAATCAATAATTTCTTTAGCAGCAGAAAACTCACTTTTTCTCCAATTAAATACCACGTTGGTTCAAAATAACTGGCGAATAAACAACTTCTTTAGCTGTGGAAAAACTCTCTTTTTCTTGAATTTTACCCACAGGGAAAATTGATTTTCCTATTTTCTTGAATCCATTAATCATTTTTCAGGAAATAAACATTTACTGGAAAAACTTTCTTTTTCTCCAGTTAAATATCATGTCGGTTCAAAAACACTTGAGAATATACTTTTTCTTTAGCAGCGGAAAAAACTTTCATTCAATTTCTTGAATTTTACCCACAGGGAAAATTACTTTTTCTATTTTTCTTTTGAGCCATTTATTTATTTTCCAGGAAATAAAATCTTTGCTGGAAAATGAAAAAACAAACTGATTCATTTTCTGTAATATT